ATCTCCATTTTGGATTCGAGACTGATCCATGATCTAAAAGAAAACAACATTTATTATTGATTAAATTCGAAATACAGATAAAAAGAAGTCCACACACAAATACAACAAAACTTAGAAAGCAATAAAAAAAACATGATCATCAGTTATTCTCCTGGTCATTTCCATCTCTGTCTTCAAACACTGCATCGGCAAAATCCAGTTTCAATATGTCATCGATGCCATAGTCATCATCCACACGTGTTGCATCATTTTTTGAAGATTCCCCAACCATAAAATTGGTTTCTATATTTTTATCTTTTGATTTCTGAGAATCGTTATAATTATCAACAACGTGTCTCGGAGCACGACAATTTCGTGCCCAATGTCCCTTCCTTCCACATCGATAACATCCATTTTCATCATTATTCTCCGTCACATTGTTCTGTTCAAATTTTGGCTGGAAATTTCTCCCCCTTTCATAATTTTGGACATAGTTGCGGCCTCGTCCACGATTGTATCCTCGTCCCGAGTTATACCCTCAGTGAAATTTGTGGCCACGGCCGGTTTGGCGATCCGGACCATATCCACGACCACGGCCACGCCCTGAGGTATATCCACGCACATGATTTTGGCTGTTTTTATTTTCAGTTCCCTGTCTAGATATTACAGTATTTATTTCAGGTACCGCTGTAGACCCCGTAGGTCTAGATTCATGGTTTTTCATTAACAGCTCATTATTTTGTTCAGCTAGCAACAAACAAGAAATCAATTCAGAATATTTCACAAAGCCTTTTGCTCTGTATTGTTGTTGCAAAAGTACATTTGAAGCGTGGAATGTGGACAACGTTTTTTCCAGCATATCGTAATCAGTTATGTTTTCCCTGCATAATTTCAATACCGAGCAAATGCGGAACATTGTTGAATTGTACTCGTTTACAGTTTTGAAATCTTGGAAGCGTAAGTGCATCCAATCATAACGAGCCCGGGGGAGAATCACAGTTTTCTGGTGATCATACCTTTCTTTCAAGGCTTTCCAGAGATCTGCAGAATCTTTCACAGTTAAATATTCATTTTTCAATGCCTCATTCAAATGTTGTCTCAGAAATATCATTGCTTTAGCTTTATCTTGTATTGATGAATTATTTGGGGAGATTATTGTTTCTCCCAACCCTCTTGCAGCCAAATGAATTTCGGCATCCAATGTCCATGAAATATAATTTTTTCCAGATATATCAAGAGCTTCAAATTCGAGTTTGACCAGATTTGCCATGATAACTTTCTGACCAGGTAGAGCGCTCGTGCTGATAACGTGTTATAAAACTAGAGAGAATTGAGACTATAGAGAATAGAGAAACTGTATTCTTTTCGGTGTGTTTTTCATTATAACTGAAGTCCCTATTTATAGGAAAACTTCTGATGGTACAATCGTAATAATACAATTACATCAGGGGCAAAATAGTCATTCACATACATTAAAATATTCTCACGAGGTGCATGCGCACCTTATATTACAACAAGTTGCTCATTTTTATTATTATTATTATTATTAGTACGTACCTTGCGATGCACAGGACAGAGATATTAAATGAGTTATTTTCACATGCTCTGCCCGTTTAAGTGTAAAAAGTAATAGGTTTATCATCTATTTTTCACTTCTTTTAATCGGCGTTAATAGGGTTATAATCTATTTTTCACATTGTAGCACCCCAAGCGAATAATAGAAGACATCTTGTTTATTTATTTATTTATGCAGTTAGTTGCATTTTAATTATTTATTCTAAGCTCGACAAATTTCGGGATTATTTAGACGTTACTGTCTATTTAATCATTTGAGTAAGATAATTTATTTAGACATTTGAGTCTATTTAAATTAATAGGAGAAAAACCGAATTTATTAGAATTTTCGGTTTAGCGGTTGCCGATCATTTTTAAGGCCGATTCCGTTATCGTTAATTTTATTTGTTCTCGACTTCTTAGTATTATCCGAGACTCCTTATGAGCTTATTCTTTCGGTCCTTGAACTCGACAATAATCGGCCTTTAATTATTTTTGGCTCTAATTGTTATTTGAAAAAAAAAAATAAAACAAATCAAATAAATATTCTTTGAGCATAAGTGCATTATGTTGTGTGATTAAATCAGCCTTTTTAAAAGCTGATTCCCAGCCCTCATCACGCCTATTCCACATATATTAAATGAGATTTAGTCCCATTAAAATTCTCTGGATCCGACTAGTAGCAGCGACATCCATTCATGCGAGGTCCATAGAACAGGAAGCCGGGAATAGCCACGTGGGGAGTCGACTAGCAACACGTGAGTCAAGGGATTTTGAGTGTGCTTAGCACCTGTTAGTTTTTTGATTAATTTGTTGTTCCACATCGGATGTATACCAAAGATGTATAGGATCTTATTAGTATAAATAGGTCCCTTGCCTTTGGGTTACAATTGTACCTTATTCTATTTTCTCCTCTCTTAGAAGGAAATCCTTAGTTAAGGAAATCCTAATTTGTGGTTTATTTAACCCTAGTTGTATTTTGTTGGTGAGTTTAGTAAATTTGGCGTTGCGGTTGGCGGTGCCCGGAGACGTAGACAATATTTCCGAACTCCGTTATCATTTTTTTTGTTCTTTTTATTTCTCGTCTTTTATTTATATGTGTTGTCTTATTTTCGTTTGGAGTAGTGCTTGCCATATTTGTTGGAGGGGTAGTTTTGTCCGTTGCGCTTGGTGTTCTACCCCAACAAATGGTATCAGAGTCGAAGGTTCGTCCTAGGCTCATTCGAAGAGGCGAGCACTGCATTCGGGTTCGAGATGTCCAAGGAGGTCAAGGGCGCATTATCCTCTGCATTCATTCCGGCAAGGACGGTGATGCCGAATGTCAGACTCCCGGTGGAGATCTTCGATGGGACCGGTCATTTCGGCATGTGGCAAGGCGAGATGCTAGATTGTCTATTTCAGCAAGGCGTCGACATTGCCATTGAAGAAGAGAAGCCAACCGACGTTGAAGAGAAGGACTAGAAGAATATCAACCGCTTAGCATATGGAACAATCCATTCGTATTTGTCGAGGGAGCAGAAGTGCGCGTCAAGAATGAGAATTCTGCTCACACTCTGCGGCCAGAATAAGCTCCTCATGAAGAAGTGATTGTTCCGATTCGAGTACCGGCATGGCACATCGATGAATGACCATGTCACTGCATTCAATCAGTTGGTTGCAGATTTGTTGAACTTGGAAGTCACATTCAGCGATTAAGATTTGGCTCTAATGTTGTTATCATCACTTCCAAACAACTTCGAGCACTTAGATATTACTCCGCTCCATGGGAAGGACTGTTACTCTTGCAGTGGTCAATTCTGCTCTATATAGCTATGATTTGAGGAAGAAGAACAAACAAGAGATGAAGAATGCAGCAGCAGAAGATGAAGCGTTGGTTGCAAGAGGTCGGTCGAAGAGCCAAAATAAGAATGGACGAGGAAGATTACGTTCCAAGGCCAAGCTTGAAAAATACGAGTGTGCTTTCTGCCACAAGAAGGGACGCTGGAAGAAGGACTGTCCTAAGTTGAAGAAGAAAGGCAAATCTCCTCAAGATGCACATGTTGTCGAGGGTGGAAGTGAAGACTCAGAAGTTTCACTTGTGGTTTCACCTTTATCATCTCATCCATATGAATGGATTTTGGATTCAGGATGCACCTACCATATATCTCCCATAAGGGAGTGGTTATTTGATTTTCAAGAGATCAATGGAGGGGTTGTCTATATGGGTAATGACTTGTAAGACAACTGGGATAGGTTCAATCTGTCTGAAGAATCGCGATGAATCCACAGAGTTTTGATGGATGCCCGGTACGTGCCGAGTTTGAAGAATAATCTCATCTCATTAGGAGCCTTAGAATCCAAAGGCTTAGTAGTAACTTTGCGAGATGGAGTTATGAAGGCCTCATCTGGCTCGCTTGTAGTGATGAAAGGCATCAGGAGGAATAACTTGTATTATTGTGAAGGTGATACAGTCATTGGGACAGCAACAGTAGCAGATTCCACCAACAAGAAGTCTGAAGCAGTTAAGCTATGGCATATGCGGTTGGGACATGCTAGTGAAAAGTCCTTGCAAACACTGGCAAAACAATGATTGTTGAAAGATGTCAAAGTGTGCAAATTAGACTTTTGTGGGCATTGTGTTCGGGGAAAACAGAAGAGAGTGAAGTTTGGAATGGCTATCCATAATACCGAAGGTGTCTTGGATTATGTTCATTCGGATGTTTATGGACCTTCTAAGACCCCATCATTAGGCAGAAGACGCTATTTTGTCACTTTCATCAATGACTTTTCCAGACGCGTTTGGGTGTACACTACGAAGACGAAGGATGAAGTGTTTGGTATCTTCATTACATGGAAGACACAAATTGAGAATCAGACTGGAAGAAAAATCAAGGTCCTACGAACGGACAATGGTGGAGAATATACAAGTGATCCCTTTCAAGAAGTTTGCCGTATAAATGACATTGTTAGGCACTTCACCGTTAGACGGACACCACAACAAAATGGGGTGGCGGAGCGCATGAATCGAACATTGGTGGAGAGAGTTCGATGTATGTTGTCCAATGCTGGTTTGGGAAAAGAGTACTGGGCTGAGGCTGTAATATATGTGCAACACCTCATAAATCGATTCCCGTCATCTGCAAAAGATGGTAAAACACCGTTGGAGGTATGGTCGGGAAAATCTGTTGCTGACTATGGATCTTTACATAGGACTGGGCAAAAAATTCGAACCGAACCGCTGAATCGTAGATCCGAATCGAAATCGAACCGAATTTTCGGTTAACCGGGGTATTCGGTTCGGTTACAAATACCTCAAAGGAAGTATTTGCTCGGTTCGGTTCGGTTACAGTTTTTAGGATTTTTTTACCCCGGTTAACCGAACCGAACCGTATATTATATTAAAATTTATAAAATATATATTATATTATATATTATATATTATATATCTTAAACTAATCTAAATAGTAAATACCTAATAACACTCAGTCACTCACCCAAATTCTAACCTAGCTAATTGCTCCAGACTTGAAAATTCATTCTCGTCTTCCTCACGCCGTCGGCCCGTCACGCTCTTCCCTCCGTTCATCCCTTCGTTCCAGTCACTCAGTCAGCCGCCCAGCCCACCTACTACCGCGGCGCCGTGGGCCCTCGTCGTCTACGACATCACCAGGAAAGCTACCTTCGAGAGTGTCCAACGATGGCTTGATGAGCTTAAAAGTAAGCTTTTGTTTTTCGCCCTTTTCCTTAAAACTAATAAAGTTTACATTTTTAATTTGTTTTTCGTTGGATCTTTTTGATTTGTTCTTTGCCCTTGTTCCATCTTCTGGTTTTGATGGTGTTGATAATAATGAATGTGCTAAAAATTGGATCTTGCTGTTGTGTTGGTAAAAATTGGATCTGTTTCAATTTCTGTTTGATTTTTCTTTTTTTTTTTCATCTGTTGTTAGGGGTTTAAAAAATACTACATTGTCATTTTAGTCATTTAATTAGCAGTGGAACATGGAATTATCAATTTTCTTGGACTTTGCTTAAGTGAGATTAGTCTGCAGATCATCCAATTTAGCAAGGAAAATGGACTAGATTTTTGGTTTTTATTTTCTCAGTAGTTTTCCATTTCTGGTGACCCGATGACCTCTATAGACGGTGTTTTGAAAATAAGCCGATTTATTTTTAAATCCAACGATCACCGCAGCTTAAAGTTGCGACTTTGTTTGTGGATTTTTAAGCATATTCGAACGTGGATAACTCAAACCTAAAAAGCTCTCCTTTTTCGTACTATATTTTGCTATTTTCAGAATTGCTATAATCTTGGTTTGCCGGTTTTTACCAATGTCGACTGATAGAGTCGTTGCCCATTTCTGATTATATTTACCTTTTTATTGTTCTAATTAATCTTGGTTGTTATATTGAAAACTGATGAAGTAGTAATATTAGCTTCGAATCGCTCATCCCTCTACCTCGCGAGACGAGAGTTGCCCTAGGTTGCTGCTCCGCGCGAGTTGCCCAGCCCCAGATTCAGCTCCGCGCGAGTTGCCCTAGGTTGCTGTTGGTGTCCCTGCCCTCTTTCCCGTTGCTACTCGCCTCTTCTCGCCACAACCGCCGTTGCTGCAAAGGTATGAGATTTTTTATTTACTGATTTTGCCCAGTTCCACTGTCCGTTTGAGACTTTGAGGATAATGTATACATACAAACAATCTTTCTTTTTTATCTACCGAAAATTTTCTTTTGTTGGTTTATTGGTTTATTGGTTTGTTGGTTTAACATTTGTGAAGTAATTTGGGCAGATTTGGTAGATTTATTGGTTTATTGGTTTTTGATTTATAGAATTATGGCGTCAATGGGTTCAAAAACCAGTGGTGATGCTGTGGATTCAACCCAGCCATTAGAAATGGAAACACCAACTGAGCCACAGACAGAACCGACTGAGATAGCATCTGAAGCTCAAGCTGAACCAATCGCAACAGCTCCCACAAATGCGATACCCGAACCTCGATCCATTGCATGGGATAACTTTACAAGAACTAAAGCCAGAGATAGGGCCAATTGTAACCACTATTCTACCTTGATAACTTGTAAGGGCAAGCAAGGTACAAGTACTAGTGCTATGTTAAACCATTTGAGAAGATGCAAAGCAAAGTTGGATGAGGTTCAAGATGAAGAGCGGCCGGGAAAGAGGATTAAGCAGGTAACATTGCATAATCAACCTAGAAGGGGTAGTGATTCCACTGTTGTCAATTCTTATTTGCATTTTGATCAACCACAATGTCGTAAAGCACTTGCAAAATGGGTAGTGGTTGTTGATGATCAACCACAATGTCGTAAAGCACAATGTCGGAATCTGCATTTAGCACGGGCGGTCGTGTTGTTGATCACTTTCGTAGTTCTTTAACTCCCAAATTGATTGAAGCACTTATATGCACACAAGATTGGATTCGGAAAGGTAATCCACCCATTTTTGAAGAAAAGGAATTTGAAGATCTTGAGAAATTAGAAGAAGGTATGTATTATTTCTATCTTTTCATTAATAGATATGTTTAATAAATATTTATAGCAAACATAATCCCTTTTATGGTTTAATTTTTATCAGTATGGGATGCTAATCTCTTGGACTTGGATGACTAGTATTGAAGATTTTCATTAAGGTAAATGATCAATTTATATTTTAGTTTTGGCATTGAAACATTATATTGAATTTTCTGAATATAGGAGCATTTGTCTTTATTTGCTCTTCATGCTTGCATTAGAATTTGTTATTTTATTTTGTTCCATTTATTTTTATTTTGTTCCATTCAGAATTCTGTCATTTTTGCTTAATTTGATTTTATCTTCAGAATTCAAAATTCTAGACTGTCTGTTTTCATGAATAGTACGGATATTGTTTCCATTCTCTTGTCTGGTGGTCTGGGTAAGCATTCACCAGCACCTTTTAAAAATCGATTTTTAAGCATTCCATTCGAGTTCATCAAGGGATTGTGCTTTTGGTAATAAAATTAAATTCATCAAGGGAATCATTGTCATTATTATTGTTTCTTTATTATTTTGCGTACAATAAACAGGTCTCATTTTTCATTTGGCAGTTCATGTTTCGCCCGACTAGTTGAGCTCACTATGGTCCGGTACCTACTGCTTGCTTGGTTTCAACTTTCAAGGTGTGATCAATCTTTTAGTATCTTGTTTGATGATGAAGTATGAACTTGTAGGGATGATTAATGTATTGTTGGAGATTATATTTAACTTTTGTGGGATGATTTATGATTTGCACTATACCTGTTGGTTGTTGATGTTTGTGGATGATTATTTGCAAACAGGGATGGTTTATGGTTTGTGATTGTGATTATGATTTATGATTTGCAAACATGAATGATTGGCTGATTATGTTTAATTGTTTATGAAGTTTTCGGTTTGGTTCGGTTCGGTTCGGTTCGGTTTATTATTTGCAAACAAGTAAGAAGATTTGTGTTAGGTTTGCTCGGTTCGGTTCGATTCGGTTAATTCGCGAATAGTAGGATTTTTTCGGTTAATCGAAAATTCGGTTAACCGAGATTTTCGGTTCAGTTTCGGTTAGCAAGTTCGAATATTTGCTCGGTTCGGTTCGGTTAGCAAATACCTCAAAAAACTCGAGTATCCGAACCGTGCCCAGCCCTATCTTTACATGTCTTTGGGTGTCCTACGTACTATCATGTGAAAGATTCAAAGATAGACCCAAGAGCGAAAAAGGCTTTGTTCATGGGAATCACAATTAGCGTGAAGGGATATCGTCTTTTATGTCTTGAGACGAACAAAACTGTGTTTAATAGGGATGTTACATTTGATGAACAAGGTATGATAAAGACGACGCAAACCCAATAGGTGGAGTTGACACCGAAGCAGGTGGAGATAGATGCAATGACGAGACTCAAGATACCAATATCAAAGGATTCATCGGATGATGAAGCACAGACTCAAAAATCATTAGAGTTACCCATTGCATTGAGAAAGCCCTGACAAGAGATTCAACAACCTGCTCGATTGGCGGATATGGTGGCTTATGCACTTCTAATTGTTGATGATGACATACCTTTCACTTTTCAAGATGCAATTCAGAGTTTAGAAAATGAGAAGTGGAAAAGGGCTATGGAGGAAGAAATGTTGTCTCTTCAGAAGAATCAGACTTGGAAGATGACGCAGCTACCAAAAGGCAAGAGGGCGATAGGATGCAAGTAGGTATTTGCAAAGAAAGAATTTCCTCATAAGAATGAGGTGCGCTACAAGGCAAGATTGGTGGCTAAAGGCTACGCTCAGTAGGAAGGAGTTGATTATTGTTTGTCCCATTTTTGTGTCTTTATTCCATGTTTATTTTCTTTTTGTTTTTCCCCATTTGTAGGTTTTTCGTAGTGTATTTGGTCCATTTCGTTCATTTTGTGTTTTTCTCTTTAGTTTCTATGTGTCTTTTTTCCGTGTTTTACTTCGTGTTTTTCCTTGTTTTGTGTTTTCAGGAGGTAGGTTGTGCCGGACGAGGTTGGGACTACTTGAGCCGAGACCGGGATATCGAGAATTCCCGTAGTCGAGCCTAGAAAACGACGAAGAGGACTGAAAAACGGACAGAAAATGTGCCCAGTATTTCTCGCGACTCGCGAGTCGTCTCGCGCCTCGCAACTCGGGTCGCGACTCGCGAACATGTCGCGACCCGCGAGAAAAACAGAGGCTTCAGGTGTAGTTTCAAGACGAAGTCGTGACTTGCGAGATTAGGTCGCGACTCGCGAGATGATGTCGCGACTCGCGACTTAGGTCACGACCAGACCCCAGGAATTGAATATCTTAACGACGCGCGACTCGCGAGGATGTCGTGACTCACGACCGAGGAAAAGGCAAAGTCGCGACTCGCGACTTATCGGCGCGAATTTCGAGGAGTGGGATTTTAACATCAGATTTCGGTCCTAGGGTTCATTATTCACTTCCAGACTTTGTTTTTACGTTCTTTCTCTAGAGAAACTCATTCCTTTTCATGCTTTTTCTCTTTTGATTCAATTTGGAGATTGAAAAAATCCTTTTTTCTCACTTTGGATTTGGATGATCTTGGATTTGACATTGGATTCTTTATATTAATCGTAAGTTCCTTTTCTCAATTGCTTTGTTGATGATGATGGCTTGGGTTGATATGAATTGTGATATTAAATTCGTTATGAGTAGCGAAATCCATTTGCTAGGGATAGGGGATGATTGATTAGGTTCGTTTAAAATTGAATGCTTTTGATTGTTCATGCCTATGCGAGTTGTGTGAATTATAGGGTTAGTAGATTGATCACCTTTCTAACCTAGTTAACGTATAGAACCGAGAGTGGAGACGTTGGTCGATTTAGGCTCGTTTAGAATAGACTTGTTCGGAAACGTATAGTCTATGTGTTGTTGGAATTGATAGTGGATCGTTTACATTCACTCTCTTGTTACGAAGAGTTATTGAGAGTGAACCTCTGAGCGAGAAACGATTCAAGTCCTTTAACCGAGCAATTGATTTCCGGTGATTATGTTAGAACCGAAAGCAATTATCCCCGATTCCCTAGCTCTTTAATCATTCAGTGAATTCATTTGCCACTTTACTTTCATTTTATTTAGTTTAAATCATTAGTTGATAATTGAAACCCAAAAATATTGAATTAGATTGTTTAGGATTTTGTCTTCTCTTTTTCGTGATTGAATAAACGCACAAGAATATCCGGCTAACCTTCCTTGTAATACGACCCAGGAAACGAATCTTTCGATTCTACTCCGGTAAAAATACTGACAACAAAATTGGCGTCGTTGCCGGGGAACATTTAGGATTATAATTGTGAGCCTATTCATTGGTTTTTTTTTAGTGTTTCTCTTATTTCTTGTGATTTTTTTTTTTTTTTTGTTTCAATGTTTCTCTTTGTTTCTTTTGCTTAGTCTGATAGTTCTTGTTTTTTGGTTGTTTGTTTTTCTTTAGGATTTTCCTTTGTTTATCTGGTGCTTGTGACGGTTTCTTTTATCTTTGTGTATGCGTACCAGGAGTTGGCGTATCATAGGACCAAACGACGAATCAAGTCACGAGAGCGTAAGGGAGCTGTTCGACAAACTCAGCCTCAAATCTTCTGAAACCACAAAGCCAGACATGGCTCTACAACACTGCAATCTCCCTCGGGACTTAGCCCATCCGACGATTGGGCTGATAACTTCATGCATCCGGTTGCCACAATAAGCTCGGAACTACGAGCTTAAGATGATCCATTACAACCAGCTGCCATCCTTCCACGGGCTCCCGAATGAAGATCCGCTTAACTTCATTCGGGAATTCTATAATGTGCTACAGACCATCCCTCTCCACGGGCTCAGCGAGGAGCAACTGAAGATGAGGTGTTTTCCCGAGACACTGAAGGACCGGGCCAAGGCTTGGTTCATGACCCTTGTGCCGGATTCACTCACTACCTGGACAGAAGTATACACGAAGTTCATTGGGAGGTACTACTCCCATCAGAAGACCCAGGAGCTCCGATCACAAATCGTCTCCTTTGTTCAACTACCGAATGAGCCTCTTCACGAGGCTTGGGAGCGGTTCAAGGATCTCCAGTGACAGTGCCCTCATCACAACCTCTCTCTGGGGCTACTAATCAACTGCTTCTATGACTCCTCCATCAGAACTTGCAGTATATGGTTGACAATGCGGCAGGGGGAGATATTGGAGCAAAAACGGTTGGAGAGATGTTCGACATTTTCGAGACGATGAGCACGAATTCGTCACAGAAGAGCAGCCGAGGGAAGAGAGTGACAGTAACCGAGGTCGGGCAGGGCAACAATGTGATGGCCCAATAGTTAGCCGAGCACACAGAGCAAATGCGTTTACTTAACGCACGAGGAGCTCAGCCAATTCAGACCATGTCCATTGACACGTGTGGGAAATGTGGAGTCCCAGGGCATAGGTCTGAAGTGTGCCTTTCAACCTTCGATTAGGAGTTCGGTGAGCAGTATGCAGATGCTAGCGCTTTACAGGGATACCAAGCCCGGCCTGACAATGACCCGTTTTCAAATACGTATAACCCGAGATGGAGGAATCATCCCAGCTTCTCCTGGTCCAACAACTCGAACTCCCTCCAGCAACCCCGTCGGAATTTCATGCAGCAGCAACCTCGACCCAACTTCGTTCTCCGTCCAAACTACCAGCAACAACAGCAGCCGAGAGGCCCGGTAGCC